CCATTTGCACCACCCAGGGACCTTTATAACCTTGAGAGTGTTTATTAATATTCCCCCTTTACAGATGATGGTAAAGAATTCATTCAAGATTGTACACTTAGCAAGTTTGAAAAAAGGAGAATGCAGAGCTTATTCTTAACCTAGGACTTTTGGCTCCAAAGTTCAGTTTTAAGCTTGACGGGGAGAGTAAGGAAATTTGAGAAGGGGGAGAAAATCTACTTGGGAGAGTCAGCCCCAGCATCATGGGCAATGAAGGATCCTAAAGACAAGGTCCCCAAAACAGGGACTGAAATAGGATCTGAATCATTCATTTTAGCAGCAAATTCTCTGCTGCCTTATGTTGCTAATTAACTGTTTCTAGCGTGTCTGATGGAGCCCTGGTGGCACAGTGGTTAAGAGCTTGGCTGCTAACCAAAAGGTCGGCAGTTCAAATCCACCAACTGCTCCTTAGAAACCCTATGGGGCAGTTCTACTCTGTCCTATAGGGGCGCTATGAGTCGGAATAGACTCGACGGCAACGGGTTTGTTTTTTGTTTGTTTGGTTTTTTTTAGTGTGTCTGATAGTGTCCCACAATTCATTCATTCAATCAACAAATGTTTCTGATCACTGCAATCTACCAGCCATTGCTTATGATACAGCAGTGGACAAAACAGAAAAAAATATTCCTGCCATTATGGAACCTACATTTTAGTTGGATTATAATCTAAAGATTGCAAATGTCTTTGAAGCAGGAATTACATCCTCCATAGTATTTAGCACACTGCTGGTCCCAGAGTAGATATTCCTGTGAAACCAATACTGAAAGAACATCCTTGAGACCTGTTGATTTATGAGCAATTAACCTTGAATAAAGATCTCTGGGTGATGCAAGTTGTTGCACTCAGCTGGTAACCGGAACCTACCCAGCAGCACCTCAGAAAAAAAAGGCCTGAGGATCTGCTTCCGTAAAGATTACAGCCAAGAAAACCCTGTGGGGCAGTTCTACTCTGCAACACATGGGGTTTCCATGAGTCAAAATCGACTTGACAGCACAAAATAACAACTTTGTATAACCGGCTTTAACAATTTCCCATTTCAAAACTGTATTCTGCAATATATTTCAGGGTCCCCACTTGGGTAGTGTATGTAGTAACATTACCTTACCTCGTTGGACTCCAGACTCTTAATCAGGGATGACAAATGTGTATATAAGTGGTGCCCTTTCCCATGTTCACAGCTGTGGCAGACATTACTTGTTGATCCCAACACTCTCTCCAGGTGAGATTGAAAGCAGCAGGCCAGTCACTACCAATTAACCTCTTTGCCATCCCTGCCATCAAATTGAAATGAAGCCAATGGAGAAAATTGCCCAAACAAATATTTTTGCAAGGCTCTGATAATGGGAATTAAAGTTCTGTTTATGTTTACACAGGCAAAAAGATGTGATAAGAAATCTCTTCTGATAATTAGAACTGAATGCCGATCCTGCTTACTCAATTTTGGAATCAAGTGTCCAGATGGTTACAGCAAGATTACTAATGGCTCTGTAGGAGTTCGAGATTGCAGGTATTGGTTGTAAGAAAATAACCAGTGGTGGAACTCAAAGGATTGTGAATTTAAATTGAAACTTCCTATTTCAAAAACTACAAAGCATTTCCATGATTTTTCTTACTCTAAGACTGCAGTGAGCCCAAACTTAGGTAACTCACACTTGATGACCTTGAGTTGAAAGCATATGTTATCATTGATTCACACTTTAATACAAAATTGCCTATCTCTCATTGCACATAAACATTCTCCCTTCATCTTGTCCTTGTTTTGGAATTCTGGGTATTTTCTCATTTGGAAAGGGTTCTAGCCTTAATGTGTTAAGAGCTTTGAGTCTTACAGTCATGTCATAACTAGCTATGAACCCTGATTCTAGTCAGAACCCAAAGAAAGGAGACAAGGGAACTACAGTATGGTTGCATTTTATGTGAGTGTTGCATTCCTGAAGACCTCTTATGATTCGAAACTCTCATAATTCAAGACTAATCTCAGCCAAGGATGGCAGGCAGTTCTGCTTGCCAGCTAAAGGGTGCAGCCATGAAGCCAGAGTGCAGACAGTTTTTTATTTACTCAGTCTACTAATTTTAAAATTAGATAACCTTGAGTTTGTCTTTAATCTGGAGATGAAGAATTGTAATATATATTTTTTATTTTGTATAAAATGAGACCTTAACACTGTTATATCACACTATTTCAAATTCACATTCACTTAATGTGACTGCATGAGATTCTAAAACCAAAGACATCGTTTCTACTAGAAGTTTTACAATATTAACTGGCCTAGAGTTAGCAAGTATAGGAGTCGGTTGACCACTCAGTTACCAAAATGAACACACATTTGTAATCAATTTCTCTTAGAATGTATATCAGAAAGATTTAGGAAGGGTTCAAGGTTAAAATTACATGGTTACTTTAATGAGAACTACTTTGTACTGGCTACTTTTTTATTCATGGCTAAAGGGGCACTTGATTATATCCCACTCACCCCCACCACACACACATACACATATTCATACACACACACATACACACACACACACAGGATAACATTATTGCATACTCTGTGCTTTAGAATTGAAGACTTTGATCCCATGGACTGGTTTTAGAGTACAGCCTTGAAAGCACCATCCACTATTCTTATCAAAAGCCCAGTTGAAAGAAACAATATTCATGGAGGATTGTTTCTAGACATATTAAAGTCTAACCCTAGAACAAGCCTTCGCTGCAGAGAGCCATGTAAATAGACGGTGATATTTAGCCTCCATAGAAGGAGTATGCCAGAACTATACCTCAGCCGGTACAAGAAACTGTTCTAA